ATCTGTTGAAAGCGTTCGAAAATATAAACGAGCTTCAACGGAAATGCTAATGGATATTTCAAACATTCTTGAGCCAGGAGGCCCGCCAAAGAAATGTAAATTGGAATCACAAGACAAAGAAGAAAGCATGGACATGGGCAAATCTGGTCTAGATAGTATTAATTCCGATAATGCTGATGGCAAATGTGTGTTTTCGCAGTGCGTGTTCAATTTTACGGGAGGAAATTAGATGTTTTCACAAAATCATATTTTAAGTGATATATATTCATTACAGAGTTAATGTGATATATTTGATTTTCCTTAGTTCTGATTGATGTAGATACGAGTTACAATGAAGTGTTTTGGGAAATACTACACTGTAGTTGATATGTGGGAATATAAATTTTGAGTTATTAAAAGTTATTAATTAAAATAAAATTTTATGTTTTACTGATGCAGTATGGCTTGAAATCAAATATGTATAAAGATAAGATGATGTGGTATAAATGCCCATGAGACAACTATCTGCCCGAGACTAACGAAGTTGATGTAATTGTCGAAACTTTCGTACTCATTTTTGATTGATTAGCCAATCAGTAGCAACATCCAAAACTGTGATGGTTATCGGTTGTGTGATTGGCTTACCAGTCAAAAGTCCTTTAATACACCCATAGTGTATGTGTAGATACCTCACACTTTTTACAACAGAAAGTCGAATGAACTATGGTACATGTTGATCATTTTGGCTTTTTAAGGTTCATAACCATCTATTATAGTCATCAAAGATAATATACAAAAATGCAAAAAAATGGTAAAAATTGTCATTTAATGGCACTATCTCCTATATAGAGTTGACTTATTAGTAGATCTTGCCTTGTGGATCATTTTTGTTGTTTAAAGTTTCTCTCTGTCTATTATAGCTTCAAAATAATAGGCAATAGCACAAACAATTAGTAAAAATAATCGTCATTTAAGGGCAATAACTAAGGAGTCAACTGAAAATTTCAGCATTTAGACTTATAAGTAGATCTTGTCTTGTTGATCATTTTTTTTTATCTATTATAGTTTTAAAGATAATAGGTTAAAAAAAAAATTGGACAAATCCTTCTATTCAGATCTACCAATAATATCTTCTTTAAAATTGGTAAAAATTGACATTTAAGCAAAGGGCAATCATTTCAATAAGGAGTCTATTCACAATTTTTGCCATGAATCCACAGTATCACAATGTTTAACCCCGCCACATTCTGTATGTGCCTGTCCCAAGTCAGGTCTGTATAATTCAGTGGTTGTTGTTTGTTGCTGTTTATCATATTTGTTTTTCGTTTATTGTTTTGTTCATAAATCAGGCCATTAGTTTTCTTGTTTGAATTGTTTCACATTTGTCATTTTAGGGCCTTTCAAAGCTTACTATGCAGTATAGGTTTTGCTCATTGTTGAAGGACATAGGGTGACCTTTAGTTGTTAACTTCTACGTCATTTGGTTTGTGGTGGAGAGCTGTCTCATTGGCAATCATACCACATATTCTTATTTTTATATTATTTTGTAGATCATGTCTCACTAATCATTTCTGCTAAATGTAGTTTCTGTCTAACTATTATAGTTGTCAAAATAATAGGCAATAAACTGCTTCGCTGAGCGCAGCTGGATACGCCCGCAGAGGTCCAACCCTGAACAGTTGGGGCAAAAATGGACACAATATTCAAGCTTGATACAGGTCTGAATTTGGATTGTAATTAAATATTTGACATATTATAGGTTTCTGAATAAATGTAGTCAAAGAACTTGAAATTGGTTATATGAATGGAATTTATATTCAATTAAAGATTTCTTGCTGTTGTGCAATACACTATGCTGTTGGGCAATACTTAGTAAATCTGTTGTCAGACTATAAACAAATAAAATTTATAAAATTCTAAAGGGAGCTTACATCAATAGATATAATCAATTCACCAAAGTTTCATAAGAATTGCTGAAAGCATTTTTGAGTTATTGTCTAGAAACTGAAAAATCCCCCCTTTTTTAATAAATAAAACCCTGTAACTCGGAAATGTAAAATCTAAAATTTATAAAATTCTAAAGGGAGCTTACATCAATAGATATCAACAATTCATCAAAGTTTCATGAGAACTGCTGAAAGCATTTTTGAGTTATTGTCCGAAAACTGGAAAATCCCCCTTTTTTTTATGAATAAAACCCTGTAACTTGGAAACGTAAAATCTAAAATTTATAAAAATCAAAAGGGAGCTCATGTCAATAGATATAAACAATTAACCAAAATTTCTTGCAAGTTGGTGAAAGCATTCTTGAGTTATTGTCCGAAAACTGGAAAATCCCCCTTTTTTTAATGAATAAAACCCCATAACTTGGAAACGTAAAATCTAAAATTTATAAAAAACGAAATTGAGCTCACGTCAATAGATATAAACAATTCACCAAAGTTTTATGCAAATTGGTTAAAGCGTTTTTGAGTTAATGTCCGACATGTTGACGACGGACGGACAGACGGACAGACGGACAACAGTATACCATAATACGTCCCGTAAACGGGCGTATAAAAATGAAAAAAAAAATGGTAAAATTCATCATTCAAGGGCAATAACTAATGATAAGAAGTCATCTGACAGATTTGATGTAAATGAACAGTAGGTAAATCTCAACATTCTGATAATTGTTGCCCTGTCAGAATTCTCTATCTGTAGCGGTTTTGAAATTAATAGACAAAACATGCATTTTACCCCTATTTTCTATTTCTAGCCATGTCGGCCATCTTGGTTGGCAGGTGGCATCACCAGAAACAATTTTCAAATTGGATATCCCAATGATGATTGTGGCTAAATTTAGTTCCAAGTAGCCCAGCAGTTTCAGAGGAGAAGATTTTTGTAACAGGTGATGGACAGCTGTGATGAGTAAAGCTCACTTGACACTTTGGGTCAGGTGAGCTTAGAAGGTGGTGCACAACTTCGCATGATCTGTGGATTCATTTTTTTGTCATTGACAGTCACAAGTTTTGTGGATTAAGGAAAAACAAGAGGCTGTCAGATTGACAGCAAACCAGATTTTCCTGCATGAAACCGATATTTGCATGTCTACAACCATAGTTGCCAACTCACATGATATTCGCATGTAATACACGCTTTTTCAACGGTTTACACACGAGGATTTTGTGACATGGCGAGCACACGCTTTTCGCCACTTTACACGCTATTACACGCTTTTTCGTTCTTTTGATTTGTTGGTCGTAAGTGAGATCGCGATTCACGGGTGTTTTCATTAATACACGATGAATACCGAGAATTTCGAAAAAATTGTTATGTCGCCATTGTTTATTTGCAATATGGACGAACAACAAAAGCCCGCAGTTCAGGTAAGTTTGTAAGTAGGTTTTAAGATTTTGTTACTTCTTTCTCACAAATTCACTTTGGGGAAATGTCCAGCAGAAAGTGGTCACTTTCTAGACCTGTACTGTCGTCTAAAGAGCCGAGTGCTAAGCAAAAACGATACCAGTGTACGTACCAAAAAAGTTGGGAGTCCATGTTAAAATCAAAAGAAAGTGATCGAGGGCCGAACAATGCATTGTGCACCCTATGTTACTCTCATATTTATATTGGGTCATCTGCAAACATTATCAATCATTTGCAATCATAACAACATGTGTGAGAGGATGTACTATTTGATAAAGCATTCAATGGTATTCAAATTATATTTTTTTTTTCTTTTTCAGTTTCAAATCTAGCCAACAGATTTCCACTGGCCATATGGGAAGGGGATATCACAAAACTGTTGGATCAGTTCTCTAAGTACCAGCTGTCTTCTGATGAACTACCCAGTTTTGACCAGACAATAGCAACATATATAATTTGTGGGGAGCAATGGCAGACATAGATGACATTTTTAATGGCAAAAAAACCCAGTATATATATGACATTCTTTAAAAGCTTGCTATTTAAACGTTAAAGCTATTTTAGTTTTGCCAAATAACAATTCTGACTGTGAGAGAGCATTTTCAATTATAAAGAAGTTTACACTGAATTCAGATCAGAACTCAATGATATATTGTGTGCCTTGTTATGTAAATTTAACAAAACTGGCAGTTATTTTGTATATTTGCCTAGTAGTGTTGTTTTGAAAGCTGCAAAAACAGGCCACTGTTGAATGCAATGAAAGTTTACAGTAGAATATTGTTGTTTTATATTAACAAATTTGTATAATGTTCATACTAAAAAGTCCGCAACTACATCACGTGTTTTCACACGCTTTTTGACATGTCATGTCATGTCATGACATGATTTTTCATTGTCAGAGGTTGGCAAGTATGTCTACAACTCAACCATGATAAAAGCTAAAATCGTGGAAATCGAACCTGACCTTCATTTAGCCACAGGAAACAACAAATCTAAATTTGAAAAGATTTCGTCAAAGCGTTTTCAAGTTACTGCACGGACACTGTTTGGCATCCGCCTGCCTGGCCACCTGTTCGACTGCTGTACATCACCAAATCAATAACCGATATTTTCCTTCAGGTTAACTACCCGGTATACTTGTTTTGGATACTAGATTTCGTGGTTTTGGGAATAATAATGAGTCCCCAGTGTATAGTGAGTCTATCAAGTTTACTTTTGTTTCAATGTATGCTATAGTTCTTGCATTGACAAAAATCTACCTATGTAGTTTGTACATTGAAAGAATGGCAGAGTTTGCATTTGCTATGGGAGACTAAATAAAAATTTACCAAAAAAAAATTAAAAGTAAACTGAACTAGAACGAGGCCCATAATTACACATGATATGAAGTATTTATATATTGTTTGTTCCACTACTCTGTAAGCTGTTAGAGATTTAAGGAAAATTACTTTTGTAACAAAGACATATCAATGAAGGGAAAAAACATAAATGGTACAACCAATGACAAATTTCAATAATTACGTTTATGCATACAAGAAGAAATAGTATCAAGTTTTCTGTTTCATTGTCTAAAACATAATATGTAGTGTCATATGAATTATTTAAGAACTTCTTACCCTTCATAAAACAATCTGGCAAACACTTCCAGGAGGAAGAGACTAATGATAAAATGTGATATATTTTCCAAAGCATCACTACTGCTACATTCAGAACCAGCTAAGTCTATAATAACCAAGGTGAAGTCCAATAATATCAGTAACATCAACACTATACGGAACACAGGATGTTCTATAACTCTTTTTACAGAGGCCTGTAATGATCTAGAAAAAACAACACAAAATTAGTGGCATTTACATTACAATAACACAAGGTGCTCTGTTACCCTCTTTATAGAGATCTGTTATGATCTTAAATATAACACCTTACATGCAACTGATAACAACATGGTAGGAAAACAAGATCAGTATTGCTTTACCTGTAATCAGCCATACAACTTATCAGTTGACCGACCATGCCACTACAATTTAAAAAGTTTGTTGATAGATGAAAATGAAAATCATCATTTTGATGAAAAAAAATTGAATTGAAATGGATTTTCTTCATCAAAATTATGAAGTTAATTATTTTAACATAAAAACAAATTGAATAATTCCCAAAGATTAAAAGAAAATTAATTATTATCTACTCCAGGAATAATAAAAAAAATGTATGTATAATGGGTCCCATCAATGATTTCTATAGAAATCATCGGTCTTATGAAATGGTTCTCAAACAGACATGCATAATATAGATCTAAACATTTTTTTTCTTTTCAGGAAGGAGTTATCACAAATATTTATTTTTGATAAAAAATTATAAAATTCAACACTCAAATTTGAATATAAAAATGTTTTTGGGTTGTTCTAAAAAATGAATAAGGTTTTTGAATCAAGATGGGGACAAATTCTTTGACCTAAACGAAAGCCCCCCCCCCCTCTTTTTTTAGCCACACAAACCCAAAAGATGAATTGTGGGGTCCAAAAGAGATACAAGACACCTATTTTAGTAAAGCAAATTTGACTGGCAGTTTTGCGAACGGCAAAAATCTAAATGCTGTTTGTCAATACCTTCGACTTATATTCCAAGTGAAAACAATTACTTAAATGTTTAATAAAAATAAATCAAAATTAAACTACATGGGGGATTATTCAGGGTATCCAACTTAGTTGCACCAAAAGGGTATCTTACTATACCAAATTAATCCTTGATTCTTCAAAGTTTAGTTTAGCCATAATAAAAAGGAGTATATAACAGCAATAGAATGTCATAAACAGTGCAGAATAAGTCTGTTCACATTTCAGGCGAAATTTATACTGTTGAGATAGTGTCAAGACATATTTAAGACTGTCAAGAATGTGTCGAGACATATTCAGACATTATTTAGAATGTCAAGAATATGTCGAGACATATTCAGACATTATTAAGAATGTCAAGAATATGTCAAGACAGATCGAGAAAAATTTAAGACAGTCAAGAATTGGTCAAGACTAATCCAGACTCTTATCAGATGATACAGGAAGTGTCGAGAAATTTTAAGACAATGTTCATACTGTCAAGACACTTGTCAAGAAAAATCAAGAACCTTATTAGACAAAAGAAATTTTAAAAATTATTCAGACAAAAACTGGTCTTTTCAGACTTTTTGACTTTTGTAGTGCTGTTTATTGATACCCATTAGTGCTTAAGATATTACTTGTCACAGTAAAAGGTATTTCTAATGCAAAAAATATTCATGACATATCATAAATTTTAATTTCATTCATAAATACAAAAAAAAATACTAATTACTGTCTATTCATGTATGTTTGTGGTACCAATATACATGGATTGCAGAAAATGGTATTTTTTATACCTGATTTTTTAATTTTTTATTATAAATGTCATAAAAGTTTAAAGATAATTTGCAGCTTGTAGAGCATTTAAATTAATGGTTCAACTTTACTAATGAAATTTACAAAAATTATTATCCAACAAAATGAATTCACAGTACAATATGGACAATGAAATTCTTACTCTATGAGGGAAAGTTGTTGTCTGGCTGATGGATCATCAATATATTCCACACCTTTTTTTGTTTCTGTGGAATATATTTTCAAAGTTCCTGTGTTTTCATCCTGGTCTTTGTCAACTTTGATGTGGACATCTTTGAGATTTGATTTTTCATCTACAGCCTGTAGATCAACAGAAGTATGAGCATTTGATGTTTGGTCTTCTCCAAACCTTTCATAATTATTCATTTTGAACTTTGTCTGAAAAGATAAAAGGACTTGTCATGTTTGCAGAGACAATACCTTAAATGTGAACTTTGTATCCACATCATATTTATATATGTAAACCTCAGATCTGTGTACGGCCTCAAATCTGTGTCCGTTTTGCCAATCTGTGCCCCATCGTGACGTCAATCGCTAATCTATGTCCGTTAAAAATGATACGGCCTCAAATATGTGTCCTATTTTCAAAATTTGTTTTCAATCGCGACGTCATTCGCAAACCTATGTTCGTTTAAAAGATACGGCCTCAAATCTGTGTTCTTTTCTTAAATCTTTTTCCAGTTTGTTTCGCCATGCGCAAATTTATGCCAGTCTTATAAGTACGGCCTGAAAGGATTTTTGTTTTATTAAGTCATTTCCCATAATTCAATGTTAAGTTGGGATGTGTTCTCCATGTGTGTGCTTAAAAATTTTACATGAGTGTGTAATTATTGTATGATTTACATTTTATTGTAAAACTACAACATTTTCAAATTGTTTGCTTGTCTTGATCCCTTGTTTTATTGTTCTGTAGTAATTATCGTTACTTCCCTTTACTCATTACGTCTTGATAACAAATACGAAATATAAGTTAATAAACAACCTGAGACAAAATGACATCTGTATACAAGCAACTAAAGATACATGTATGGCCTTCAACAATGAATTGAACCTATTCTGTAACGTAATCTGTAAACACATACACCTATTTGTTCAATGTTTCAATGTATAGGTACCACATAAAAATGTTTAGGGTATAATTTATTGACGGTTTAACAACGACATTTTGTGCCACTATCTTATTAAAAAAGTTTTTTTTTCTGGTGAAACTATTCCGGTTACGAATCTATATATTTTTTTAAATCCATTGTGTACCATGACATCAACATTCAACAACCACAACATAACTCTGTGTACAAATTATTGGCATAACGGGCATACATGTTACTTTATTAATGTGCCTTCAAGAATGAAACTACAAATATTTTTTTACTTGATTACGTCTTGCTATGTCTTACGTCACCACATTTCGATAAAGGATTTGAGTTAATAAAGGACATAGATTTGAGACAATAAAAGACATAGATTTGAGACAATAAAGGACATAAATTTGGAACGTCTATGACGCAATATTAAAAGGGACATAGATTTGCGGAAAATACATAGATTTGAGGCTGGACATAGATTTGAGACTTACATATATACACAAAAATAATACAGTAAACCAAGTTATTTAAGCGATAATGGCTGGTAGAAAAATAACGCAAATACATGTGACATGTATAAGTCACAAATATGTAAAACTTGGATCTTCCCTTACATGGATATCAATACATAAAAACAATAGAAAATCAAGAAAATACAGTATAGCGGGTTTTTTTTATCATGGGTGTAAAATTTCTCAATATAGGGGCAACAAAGTATACAAAAATTTTGGAGGATTCTTAATTTCCAAATTGAATATTTTGGCAGATACTGAAATGGTTGCAATTAAAAACAAAAGTCATTTAAACAAGTGTCTACTGTTATGTTTAAATGATTTTTTTACCTGAATAACATCTTATTTTTTTTTATTATATTCTGATACAGTTAATCATTAGAATATTTGTCACAGTTGAACAAACTTCTTGTAAATGATACAGTTGATTAGTTACGAAATTGACCAGACTTTGGATGTACTAATTAGGTTATAAAATTATCATGAGCGGCTTACAACTCTTATATAATTTGACACTAATTCACAAGGGTAAAATACCTGACAGAGTACCTTACACTCTTAAATGATTTGACACTAATTCATAAGGGTATACAGTTAAATTAGAACTCACAATATCATTTTTAAAAATTCATGCATGTACAATGCCCTTTTGGCATTGATGTAGTTAAAATTAACGGATACCGTTATTGATCTGTTTACACACTATATCTCTATATATATATAGCTACAACTCAACATTTATATGAAGCTACAGACCAAATATAAAATCATTCCCATTCATAGAAGCCAAGAAAACTTTTTTTGTACATAAGGTCTTTCAGATGGATGGAAAGAAAACTTTTTTTGTACATAAGGTCTTTCAGATGGATGGAAAGACTTTCAGATGGACAGACACAGAGTTAAGCAGTTACTAGACCTGCTTTCACCTTTGTCAACTCAGGTAAAATGCTGCCTTTAATTTGGAATTGACATGATTGAGAAACATTGAAGACTATGCATGAAGAGAAATCTCACAAGATCTCAGCTACATGTAGCATCATATTTTCATACAGTCTATGAGAATCCAATCCATCTCACTATTCAAATCCTTAATTCAACATATACTTTAAGGATCCCCAACCTTATGGAGCTATACTAAACCAACCCCAGGCCTCTACTTTTTTTTTAACTTGCCCAATAGGACAAGTACATACCAAAACTTACTTGTCCGAATGGAATTGTAACTTGTCCGAAAAAAAAACACCTTTATATTAACCTTTTTTTCATTTTAGGTTGATTCAATGAACAAAATGAATTAAAACATTAGAAAAGAATTTGTTTATATCTCTTGATATCCTTTTCAAAAATATGAATCAAGAACAACTGAATCTAGTCATGTCTAGTCACAGGACTTAGGTTCTAGTTTTCATCAAAGTCAAAGTCTCATCAGACTCTGCACATCAGGCACAGTCTGGTATGCCTGTCAGTCTACACTCATTTGGTTTGTATCCTGGTCTTTTATGTTGATAAAATATTGATTATTATGAACAATGTCTTACTACAATTAGCTTTGTTTTTAATATATTGAAATGTTTTTTCAAACACAATCAAATATTGTTTGTTTAAATATTATCAAATCTTATTTTCTGAATTCTATGGTCAATAATTTCTTCATTTTTATTTTTTTAAATATTTTTGTTAAATAAAATTTATCATATTTTTATAATAAAGCAACAGAATAACGTAGGGTCACAGTAGCCTATCGACAAAGCATTAGATTGGGTCAGGATGCCAGGCTAACAAAGGTATGGCTGGAGTGGTAAGAGTACCGAAATGTCTCCAACAGTGCTGAACTGTCTATTAAACATGGAGCCAATTCGTTTCCCTGCAGGTGCCAAACTGTCATTGTTACCTTATATACAAAGGCACCGCTGATTCGCACAGCTGATTCATTCCATTGGTAAGACTGGTTTCCGAGAATAAATATGCCTTTTATCTGTTATAAAGTATCTGACAAAGAACCAGTTTTAAATTATTGATCGCAAGTAAACCTGTGAAATTAATATTTGTTTTTATCTTCTTTTCTTGTTTTTTGTTTATTACTTTGATCATCAAAGTTGGATTTAATTTATTTTCTACAGAATGATTTTACTTGTCCCGTCGGACAAGCTTGATAAGGCTTTTACTTGTCCGACCTTTTATCCTCTGGTACCGGACAATCAAACAAGTGTTATTGTTGAGCCCTGAACCCTAACCCAAAAATCTAACCTTTACCTAACCCTTACAATAACCCTAACCAAAACCTAGCTTAGAAAAAACCATAATCTCACCCTGGGAACAGTATATCTAACGGGAAATGAATCTGATACACTTTTCAGTATAAAATTGATAAAATCTCGGACTCCCCGAGACTTCCCAAGATTTACGGATTTTGGTAGCATCTGACTGAAAAACTATCAGAACTGCTCAACAAATAAACCACATAACTCTAATTGTAAATAAATACAAGTTTTATCATTTAGTAGATATATTTTGTCATATAAAATTACCAAAATAAGTTTGATTTATTTGATGTGAAGTGTTTTATAATAGTTTGGGAATTTGTAAATAATCGCGGCAATGGCCGCCATTTTTTTTATTACCTGGTTTGCATTCTGCACAATTCTGTGATGAAATGCTTGCGATTTTAACAAATTTGAAGTGACAGAATACAAGTTTGATACACTAGCATCACTATAAAACTAGTTTGAATGACATTTTATTGATAATATCAGAAATTATTAGAATAATAGCGAGTCCGTTTTTAACACATGTCCGTTTCTGTATCGTATCTTTATTAACTATGGCACGACGATAAAATCGACTACAATCAGGTAGTGTCAAGTCCGGTCAATATATATGTTCCTGTCTCACCTTAACTTTAGTGTATAGGAACCCCTAAAGGGGTAGGAATGCCCTTTAACGTTAGGCGTCAAACAGTCATTTTCGGCTACTGTTGCATCAATTTGGTTAAAATTTTATTGTGATTTGTCAAAACATCCTTATCGTGATTCGTCAGAGGTCTCAAATAATTAACCGTCACCGTTATTTTTGGAAAGAATTTAACGAGATTCGTCAAAATCAGTCAATTTTTTAACGTCATAACGAAAATGTACATTTTATCGTCATGCACCAAACTTTACCGTTAACATCATTTGGCAATTTTTTTACCGTTATTCGTCATGAAGATACCCCCATTACTACCCTCCTAAAGTGAAAGCATGCAGATTATAATTCAACATTTCTCTTGAGCTATATCTTTCATTATCTTATATAAAAATTATGTTTTGCAATTGCTTAATATTAAAACAATTCTGTTTGATATCCATATGTCATTTTATTCTCACATGAGATTACAAATGAAAGGAAACAGAACGTTTACTGTTTGTCTGATCAACCCCCTCCCCCTTTTCAGCAGTTATCAGTAGTAAGTGCACCCCTCTTTTCTTCTCTTGATTTTATCAACAATTTTCCTTATTAGTTTGACATCTCTTTGTTATTAATTCAATATTTTTGAGCTGAGTTACTGCATATATTTTTTTTAAAGACTAAATGAAGAAAGGGGGTGGATGCTTGTAAAAATTCGTCTGCTACAACTTTCTTTGTATTGACTATTGTATCATACGTTTAAGTTACACATTCGTTCATGTTATGCTTTTCCTTGGTGTCTACCTTGGTTCTTAAGAAAATTAGTAAACTGCGGGTTTGGTTCTCTTAGCCCATGGTGTTCTTGAGGGTCTTTTCGTCAGTTCAGTCTTGGTCCAAAACTTTTTTAAGTTTTACAATCAGTTAAAATGTATAAACTCCTTTCATTGGATAAATTGTTGATTCATAAACCAATCACTGTTCATTTCACAAACAAACTGTACATAGGAAAAAAAGATATCGGACAAATTTCCGGAAACTAAAGATATCTGAAAATGAGACTAAAGATTTTTTAATTAAAAGGTGACTAGGTCAATGCAATTTTGGGAAGATAATCTTTTACGAAATACTACAGTCGAAAAGGGTATATTACGAACGTATTTCAAATTTAAGGATATTTTCATAAGAGAGACTTATCTAGAGTGGGTGGCGCATATTCGATTGGACACATTTTCGCCGTTTTGCTATTTTTTCTGTAAAATGTGTGTGCCTTTACCCAATACTTGCCTAAATAGATGGTAAAGGCTATTTGTAATGTTACAACTGTTGATATTCCTCTTTACCCCATTTCCAAGGTTATTTGCACATATTGAGAAATACGCAGGTGTTTTAAATGATTTTGTCAATTATGTAAGATTTATATGGTAATCATGCGCAGTCTTAAAGTAAATATTTGTGAGAAAATTCGTATAGGATTGATCTCTCATGCTAATTCATGTAATTGCAAACATTCGTTTTTATAATATACCAGGATAATGAGGATGGTCATATCATACATTAAGGCGAAAATGTGTCCCCCATGGTACACGAACAACTCGATTTCCTCTTGAGTTTACGTTCGTTTTTAGAACAATTAACCAATGTTTTGAAGATAATTTCTTTATCAAACATTTTTTTCATATAGTTAAATTTCTGAAACCTTCATAAAAAGTTCCAAATATTCGAATGTAGGTCGGATGTAAGTAGAAATGAACGAATTATGCGTCGAATATGAGTCTCTCACTCTAAATGTTGTAAAGAATTTTGAAACTTAAAAGCCGTGACCTCACACAAATGAGAATTAGTGCTCATGAATTAACTATTGACAAGGGTCGTTATGGAAAGATTAACAAAGATCAAATAATTTTTAAATTTTGTTCTTTAAATTCAATTGAAGATGAACTAAATTTTCGGATGGAACGTCCAACAACAATAACAACAAGTTATGAGGGGGGTGACATACTTTTGGGATGTGGGATATAGGGGGTAAAAAAAGTGGGATCTGGGAAAAAGAAAGAAAAAAAGAAGGAAGTGGGATATGACCATAATGTGGGATGTGGGAAAAACCCACAAAAAAAGATAAAAAAAGAATGGTGAAAAATCATGAATGGTCATGATGTGTCTGATTGGTGGTGTCCCCAGTCTTAGAGACGAATACAGCATAGTATATATAGATCTACATTTTTTAATTTGCTGTTTTCGTTCTCTTCAGTATGTACAGAACTTATGAAAAAAACCCACATCTTTGCCATATCTATGCTTCACGAATCCAGGTTCTTACTATGATCGCCCTGAAGGATTGGTGCCTTTTAATGCAGTTGTGAAAATGCCAATAATCAAAGAAATCAAAATCACTCAGGCTGATAGAATTATAGGACGAAATATCTGCAAAGCGTAAAAAAATTCTCTATTAGACAACAGAACACCAAATGCAAGGCAGGAACACTTCCATTGTATGCATATCTGAAAGAGACACAAAGTGGTGATACAATTGACTTTGAAAAATTGTTGATTGATGAAAAAGAAATTGGTGAACAAGCATCAAATATAATGTTTCCAACTGGAACATTGTTACTTCTGTCTGTTGAAGTGTACGTAGAATCTAATCAACAAAAGAGAAAGAAGGATATGCGACTTAATCATATTCAACACCATTATAGAAACACCTGTTGGATCTGACGATGTACGTGGGGATATGTTTGTAAATTCTCCAGGAAACCCCTTTATTTGTAAAACTATTAACTGTATGACAATTAGCATAGAACATGTGGTGAAGGAACTATATCTGAATTCAGTATATCTGAACTTCTTTTCGATGAATTTATTGGAAAACCCCAGGACAAAAACAGCAGTGGAGACGAACAGGATGAAGACATCAACGCAGTTATGGGGATAACACAATCTTCCGGGACACAACAAAGACGGACACCAAGTTATTTAAAAGACTATTTTGCTTAAAAAAATATTCAATGATCATCAATCAATGCTTTTTTAAATTTATTATTAGCCATTTCATATCACTTTATATATTATCTTGTCCCGGAAGATTGTTATATCTCCATATATTTGTGTTGCTGTCTTCATCGTGTTTGAATTTGCTGCTTTTTTTTTGTACAGGGGTTTTCCAATAAGAGTCAATAAGTTCCTCGTAAAGAATTTTAGAAAAACTAACAGTGTTTCATTTTAATTCACATTAAGCTTCGCATTCAGAGATAGTTCCTTCACCACATGGTCTATGCTAATTGTCATACAGTAAATATAGTATTACAAACAGAGGGTATTCCTGGAGAATTAACAAACTTCGTCCGATTTAAAAGGTGTTTGTTCCATGGTTTTGCATATATTTAGGTGGCATTTTCTATGTTTTTTATTGTTGATCAAATTCCGTACTTCAACAGACAGTAGTATCAACGTACCAATTTGAATCATTATTGGTCATGCTTGTACACCAGTAATTCTTGTTCATCAATCGTACCACACTTTGTGTCTGATATGAAGATTCTCTGCTTTGGGTTTTGTGTTCTGTTGGTTTTGTGTTCAGTTAAGTTTTGTGTTCTGTTAACTAAACAGGAGTTGCTTTAAGCATTGAAGGCATTTATTTTCATAGTCATCAAGGAGTGCTTTATCACCTTTGGTGGTTTTTTTCCTATAATTTTTTTTCACAAAAGCCTTAAATGACATTGTTTCTTGAGGTTGTAGTAAGAATCTGGACCAGTAAAATATAGGTAAGGCAAATATGTGTTTATTCATAAGTTCTGTACATACTGAAGAACAAACAAGTCAAGAAGACAGCTCTGGATGGTTCAAAAAGGGCATTATGGAAAACCAAAATCTGGGATTTGGGAGAAATGGAAAAAAGTGGGAAGTGGGAAAAATGGTCTAAAAAATTTAGGAAGTGGGGAAAAATTTCCAAAAAAAAGAAGGATTTGGGAAATGAACACCCCTGTGTCACCCCCCTCTCTCAGTTATGTTTAATTCTGCTTTAAAAATATGTTATAATTTCAAAAAAATTAATACAGAAAACATATTTATTTGGCTTCTTTCGTGTGAACTGAAAAAGAAGAAATATGTAACAATGTGGCTTTGATTTGTTATGAATGTTTTACGATAAGAAAACAACTTTTATAGTTAAATCCATATTATCCGGGCACAAGCATCATCGGATTATTATTGTTTCTTTACTAATATGTCTAATTGTATTCACTATATATGTAACATGCCCTTTTTGAGTCGATAATTGGTATAATAAAGTATTCGTATTCGATATCTGGGATAGACATACATTAGCCCCAACTTAAAGTTTACAATTTATCCTTCTTTTTTTTTTTAACTTAAATCATTTTTTTTTATATAAAATAAACTAAAACTAAGAAGCTACGCATTTAAAAGAAGAATCGTGATTAAAAGAAGATGTCGGGTATACTTCAAAAGGACAGTTACATACAAAAAAAAATAAGAAAAAAACTACTTTAACTCAACATGGATTTCGCATGGGTGTTGTTGATATGAATCGTTTATCGATCAGAGTATTAGTTTAACCTTAAATTAGTGCATTTGATTCCTTACTTTGCTAATTAGTTATAGAAATTCATTATTCCCCTATTAAGAGAGATATTGGCCTAAACAAGAGTGTTTGAAAATACTTTCTTGTATCTTTGAACTGAAAGACCGCGAAACGACACATCTCTGGAGCAGTTTTCTGACGTGACATTCTAACCAAACTAACTGTGACAGTCACAAATAGTCACAAATATGTTACACACTACTAGTAATTGATTTTCAAGTACCACCACTATTTTTTAGTCATTACAGGGGCGGATCCAGCCATTTAAAGGGGGTTCCTAACCCAGGATAAAGGGGGGGGGGTTCCAACTATATGTCCCCATTCAAATGCATTGATCGTCAAAAAAAGGGGGGTTTCAACCCCCGGAACCCCCCCCCTTCCTGGATCCGCCACTGCATTATTGACATGCAAAAATAGCTTGAACCAATGAAACAAAATTAGATATTAGGGAAACGGGAATATATTGTACGCAATATTCGCACAAAAGGCCGATATACAACAGTACATGACATAGATGAATCCCGTACATATCAAGCCTGTATAAGCCAGATTTGGTACTATCTTTTGGAACTTTTGGTTTTGGTTTTCTACGATTATTCGTTATTGATTTGGCCTTCCAACTGTGTTGATTTGGACACAACAGATGAGTCTACTGTAGTGGAAACGCTCGTCTGACTTACTAAATTATAAGCCAGGTATCTTTAATGAGATTTTAGAACTAAATATATACTGGGTTGGTACCACTGCTGGGATCACCAGAACTCTTGTACTGACGTGAAATATCATGATTGACGGAGTAATTTTTTGTAAATTAATTTTTATACGCCCGATTACGGGACGTATTATGGTATATTTTTTCCGTCCGTCCGCCCGTAGGTCTGTCCGTCTGTCCGTCGTCAACATGTAGGACAATAATTGAAAAACGCTTTAACCAATTTGCATGAAACTTTGGTGAATTGTTTATATCTATTGACATAAGCTCCCTTTCGATTTTTATAAATTTAAAATTGGGATTTTATTCATAAAAAAGGGGGATTCATTAAAAAAAAGGGGGATTTTCCATTTTTCGGACAATAACTCAAAAGTGCTTTGAGCAGCTTTCCTGCAACTTTGGTGACTGGTTTATATCTATTAAAATAACCTCCCTTTAGTTTTTTTTTTTATAAATTTTTGATATGACATTGAGGGGTTATGGAATTTTATTCTTTGAAAAAAGCGACGGGCGTATCATGCGCTCATGACGCAACACTTTTTTAAAAGTAGATCCCGTGGAATGCAAAATATAATTTGAAAAATCTTGTTAATGCAACATAATA